GCTCAGCGGCTGCTCAGCTTGGGCCAGGACTCAAACCGCTGTTGCTCAGAGCTCAAACTCTTGAGTGAGCTCTTAACCAACTGAGCCACTCAGCCAGCTCTCTGTCATGACATTTTAAAAGTAGACTAGTATGTTACAAATGCTTTCAGTGAAATATAATACTTTAGTAGCCATATTTAACTATAATATTTTAGCTAACAGTAATACATTTTTAAATATCTTACCTTTGAGAATCCAAGTTCCACAAGTAATCTGTCAGCTACAAACTCAATATACTGTTTCATCAAAACACAATTCATTCCAATGAGCCCAACTGGCAAGGCTTCTGTTAAAAACTCCTGAGATGAAAACAAAAACAGGATAAAGTACAAAGAACAATAAATAAGTATGTATTTTCCAAATAAAAAGAGGGTTTTAGTTTTATTAATCTTTTAAGTCACTAATCTTGTCTGAGGAAAGCACACTAAGTTAAATTCTTTCAATGGCAAACAATGTCCATTTGTTTAAAAATGGTTGGGGTATTACTATTCACATTTTGTCACATTCTCCAATAGCCAAAACAAATTAAAACTAATTATCAAATTACTGGTATTTTTAAAAGCAGCACATATAAGACCTGAATTCACATGCTTTCTCAATAAAAAAAAAAAAGAGATACTTTGTTCTGAAATATCTGAAAAAGATTCACCAGAGATGATTGTTGTGGGGAACATGATTATGGAAGGGAGCTGTGAAAGAGAGAAAACACAATTAACAAAGAAAATGAGAAAGAAATAGAAATGGATTTGAGGGTTGGAGATAAACTAAACTCCAACTATATTGAAAGACAGTGATGAAGTGATGAAGTGTTAATAGAGGAAAAATAAGAACATTAACCACCTGGATTTAGTTCTCAAAATGATTAAAGATACCAAAATGTAGTTTGTGCCTCTTCCTCTTCCTAATATAAAAACTATTGCCGTTCAACTACGCAGTACTAAAAACAAGTTTAAAATTTTATCTTACTTTTAAAGTAGTTCTTTCAAATGATAAAAACACATCCTAAGTGGAGCACCAAGGTCTTTCTTGTCAGAGATCTTTACATGTCATAAATTAGGTTTACTATTCACTAATCCATTTATTTATTAATTCTATAAACATCTAATGCATAATTTAAGCTAGACACCCTGCTAGGCTTCTGAGAACACAAAACAAGAAATCATCACTGCCCTCCAGTAGCAAAAATCTAAAAATATAAAGCTAAAATAATTACAATAGGTTGTTATAGCATAAAGTTTGACAAGTCAAGGAGACAGAAAATATAGTCCTGAAATAGATTTTAGTATACATAAAACCTTACTATATAATACTTATAATTGACATTATTGCAATATATTATCTATTGGTACTGTGAAGTTGACCATATAAAATCGCTGATATTTAGTTTGACCTACAAAATGGCAATTTCATATGAGTCAACCTCATAAAATAGGTATAAACATTAGAGAGAGAGAGAGACATGCTGATTATATAAGCTTACCTGCTCAATTTCAACAGCATTAACAATGATCTCCCTGACCCTTTCTTCTGAAGGCTTATTTACTAAATATTGAAACATCAGGCAAGCAAAGTCACAGTGAAGCCCCTAAAACAGAAGAAAAATAACAATGTCAAAAAACATTCAATCAGCTATTTTCACACAGTGATGTGTCAGGCATCATACAGAGTAGGTTCTAGGAATGCAACATGGAGCTTCTGTAAGATAGAAGAGTGATTAAGAGGGCCAGGAATTTCTTTCCTTCAAATCTCATTAAAATGCCAATTACAATAACCTATGATAAAAATTTTTCAGTGCCAGAAATCTTAGTTCATCAACATGAAAGAAGAATTAATTAACAACAACAATCTACAACTAAAAGCATTTTGGAAAGGAACACAAAGCAAGATGAGCCAAAATAAAAGTTCATTCATTTTTGTCTAAAAAATTTAAGAAATGATTAAAAAATAGTAAGTATTTAAAGCACAGGTGAAACTCACTCAGAAATATTTCAAAAAGACATTTATATTAAGTAAGAATGGGCCAAGATAAAGATGAATTCAGTACAACGAAAATGGAAATTGAAGAATAAAAAATATCATTTGAAGCTGTATAAGGCAGACATGACATTGCAGATAACTCAACCAAAGAAGGAAATAAACCTGTGAAATACCTGAGAACAGACTGGTTATACAAATACAAGAAATGGTATAGAATCTTAAATAGTTGAAGAACAGAGCAAGGAGATTCAACCTACAATAATCAGGATTCCACACCACAGAATAGATGGTATAAAGCTGCAAACAACAAGATGTCAAAAAGTCAAAACGAAAAAGAGAACGAGACCAGAGATATAAAAAGATGATGGCGCTCCAAACAAAATTAACAGAGACTGACACTAAGGCAGAGTCAATGAACATTTCTAAACTACAAAGAAAAAGAAATAATTTTGTAAGCCACCAAAGGGAGAGGAGGAGGAAGACATGTACACTTTAAAGGATTACAAATCAGAGCTTGCTTAGGTTTTTCTAAATAAATCAACAAATACAAAAGACATTTGAAAAATAAGAGTCAGGGAGGAGGGAAGATAGAAAAGGGTAAAGGAGGGTCACATATATGGTGATGGAAGGAGAACTGACTCGGGGTGGTGAGCACACAATGTGATAGACGATGTACTATACAAATGTACACTTGAAACCTATGTAGTTTTACTAACCACTATCACCCCAATAAATTTATTTTTTTTAAAAAGATAAGACTCAAACCAAAGGTTGTACTCCAAGGATTATTTACCCAGTTAAATTGTCATTCCCAGAAGAAACCATCAAGAAAAAACCTTTCAACAGCTAATCTTAGATTTGCTAATGAAATATTTTTCCCCCAAACTTGACTCAAGAGGCTACTTCAAATTATCAAATGCTAAATTTCAAATAAACTGCTGAAAGGTGTTAAAGTGTTGATTAGAACTGACAGCTAGCTACTACCTATTACACAGATGAGTAAATCAAATGTAGGCACTTCTATTGCTAAATCAATAAGTGAGTAAAATTAATTTTGAGATTTAAAGCAATTCCAATCAAAATCCTAATGGGATTGTTTTTAGTTATAAAATTAATGTGAGACTAGAACTACTAAAAAGAAAAAATGTAATATGATAGAGGCCCTAATTATTGCTACAATGGTAATCATATTGCAATATATAAATGTATCAAATTAACATGTATGCCTTAAATTTATACAACATTACGGTATATGCCAAATATATTTCAATTTAAAAAACTTAATCTGGAAGAATAAATGGGCAGAATCTTGTAAGAACACTTAATGGGAAAGTTATGAAATTTATCCTAATTATCAAAACATAAAACACTACAATAATTAAAATAGTTTGTTATGGCATTAAATTTGACAGATAGGTTAATGAAAAAAAAAGAAAAGCCCTGAAACAGATTTTAGAATACTTAAAACCTTAACATATAATAAAGAAGACCCCACAAATCAATAGAGTGAATTAACAAAGAGAATTTTAAAAACTTCCCAAGAGTATGTGAAATAGACTTAAGTTAGATTCTAACCATCCTATACTATACTATGTTTGCACTAAATTCTATACTTATACTAAGCAAATTCTAATTGTATTAGCGAGTCAAGTGTTAAAAAGTCAAGAAGAAAATATGTGATCATTTAACTCATCTCTGGAAGTGAATCGCATAAATTTCAGGTTTCTGCATACTAAAAAAACAAAATTAAAAAGCAAAGGTCAAACTGGGAAAATATTTGCAATAAAAATAACAAAATTCATACTTTATATTATATTCATGTAATAAATATTTTTAAAACTACTTATTGAAAGAGCCTAGTAACTGTGCACTAGGAATATATAACAACAGAAATAAAAGCAAAAGATAAGAATAGGTAAATACAGAAAAAAATACAAATGACTAATATCATTATGAAAAAAAAAGTTCAATCTAAGTAACAATCAAACAAATGCAAATAACCCAATAATGAGATACCATTACCCCTATCAAATTTGTCAAATATTTGTCAAATATTTAACACGTAAATCAAATTCTTGTGGGGGTATGTATGGTAAGAAAAAACACGTTCAGTCAAGGGAATTGTAATAGATATGTATGATATGGGGGCGGGGCAGTGGATTGGGGGAGGGAGGTTGTCACTTTGAGGGGTAAAAAGTATAACTATTGCACTGTGTTGTACAGCTGAAACTATTTTAAAAAAACGTTTATTTCACAATAAAAAAAAGAAAGTGCTTTTATCATGAAGATACTTAATAAATATTAACAGAGTCGATGTAGGAAAAACACACCTAAGATATAAGAAATTAACAACTGCACAAATAAATTATATTTGTTAAAAAAAACACATTCATACATTGCTAGGTAGGATTGAAAATTGCTATAAAATTTCTGGGAAGAAATCTTCAAATAAGTATGAATGATCTTTAAAATGTTCATACCTTACAATCTAGTAATTCTACTTCTAGGGAATCTAGCTTAGGAAAATAATATGAATTTGAGACAAGCTTATATACAAAGATATTCATTTTGCATTATAGCAAAACAAATAAACAAAAAATCTGGAAACAACCTGAATTTTTAATTATAGAATAGTCAAATAGCAATATATTTATTCATTAGAATATTACATATCTAACAAAGCTGTTTCCAAAAATGCTTAATGTCATTGAAAAAATGCTCACAACATTTTGCTAAGTGAAAAAATAATATCTCACCTTATAATAATATGAAAATAGCAGGATATCTCAAATTGTAAAAATATGATGTTTGCATATATCTACATAGATTTAAATGTAGAAAACTAGAAAGACTATGAAATACTAACTGGTTATTGCTGTTTGTTGAGAGTGATTTTGTTCTCTTAATTCTCTGTAATAATCCTATATAACATTTATAATAAAAACTTTTAGAAATTTAAGGATATGAAACAACAAAAAGTAATTATACAAAGCATTTTATGGCACTTAAAAAACACTTTCACACATACTGTTTCACTGTTAAGGTTTGTAGTTCAAGAAACAGAGTCTTGGAGAAGTTAAGTAACTTGACAAGGTCACTTAGAAATAAGCTGAGAGGACAGGATTAGTGTAGTCAATAAACGTGAACTGAATTGCTGTGATGGGCTAAATACTGAGAACAGAAGGATAAATGACAAGGTTTCTGCACTCAAGAAGCTTAGAGTCTAGCAGAGGAGAGAGACAAGAAGTGCAATAAATGTTATGGACATGATAGGGACAAGTTTAGGTTTCAAAGAGATACACATTGTCAGTTTTACCTAATTGGGTCAGGAAAGTTTTGAGTTGCAACTTCTAAGAAAATAATCAACAAATGAAAAAATTGGTCGGAAAGATGGAAAGGGTATTATTGCAGGCAGAGAGAGACAAGATTTAGTGTTTGGGTGTAGCTGAAAGAGCAAAGAAATCTACAATGACTCCCAGATTTCAAATTTAAATGATTGGATGGAAGGTAGCGACACTCAGTGAGATAGAGAAAACCGAAGGAGGAACAAATCTTGGGAGAATGATCCTGAGTTTGATTTCTGAAATGTTAGGTTTGAGGTATTTGTGGAAACTTCCAGGAGAAAACATCTAACAGGCACTTGAATATAGAAATTTGGAGCTCAGGAAAGAATATTTGGGCTACAGATAAGGTTTTGGTTGTTATGAGCATCTAGATGGTATCTGATTCCATGGGAATAAATAAGATCAGCAAGGAGGTCATGTAGAGTGAAAGGGAGAGGCCAAGGTGAGAACCCCAGAGCACAGTATTTCAGGGTGCGCAGAGGAGACCGGGGAGGAACAGGCAGAGGTAGGAGGAAAACACTGTCTTAAAAGCTGAGGAAAAAAAATGACTTCTTAACTTCTTTTAATTCCTTTGTGTCAACATAAGCAATTTCCAGGGGAAAGAAAAATAAATGAACACCAAATATAAACACAAATATAACTAGAAAAATACTTCATTCCTTACTTCATCTCTGCTGATGAGTTCATTGGAAAAAGTGAGTCCAGGCATAAGACCTCTTTTCTTTAGCCAGAATATAGCAGCAAAAGATCCCGAGAAGAAAACTCCTTCTACAGCAGCAAAGGCCACCACCCTTTCCCCTGGAAGACATAAAATAGTTTTACTTTCTGGAATATCATATAATGCAGACATTTATATATTTATTTATTATATATATTTTTTTACATACGTATATATGTATATGTGTGTGTGTGGTTGTGTGTGTGTGTGTGTGTGTGTGTGTATTATAACAATACCACAATTATTTTGCCAAGAAACAAAATAAACAAGTTAGTGCCATGGCCAAGGGTCTTCAGGGGAGAAAATTTGCCAACCTCTATCTACTCGAGCAGAAAGGTATGTCTACTTCAAATCCTATGTCAGACATTGGGCTCCTACAGGTCTTGGTTTCTAGACAAAGGAAAGCCTTCCATACTCAAAAAACCAGAGATGATTTATCTCTGCACCACACGTGTCTACGAGAGGTGTCTGTGTGTGTGTGTGTGTGTGTGTGTGTGTGTGTGTGTGTGTGTGTGTGTGTACACATGCGTGCACATTCGAGTGGAGAGCAGAAGATGGATTTTATGACAAAATGTCTCTCTCTCTGGTTGAGGGAGAGAAGGTTGCTGAGGTTTATAGTTTTAGAAACCCAAGGTATCTTACAGATTATCTATAAACATTTCAAAAAAACGCTGTCATGCATCTACAATTAAAAAAGCAGATAAGTCCAGCTGAAGACAATAAGTACATCTGTTGGATAATATATCCCATCGTATAAGCAAAAATACTGTTTTCTGCTAAACCTATAGGACCTAATTTCAAATGTTACTCACTGTTAGGCAAGGACTTTGCAGTAGCCTACCCCCTAAAATGTCTTTAGTGGCGTATCTGGAACAGTATCCCTAGGGGGTGATTCTAGGTCTAACCCAAAAGAAGATCATCTCAAGCCCCTTAAGTCACCACACGGTATGCTCAAGAGGAATATTTATATTTGTGTCTGTTTAGGGAGAAAGATTTGGTCTATAAGACTGTGAGATAAAGGCAGCTGAGCGCTTGAACCAACTACAGGCCTGTTTCATAGATGACATCATAGCTTGTGTCCCGGTACTTTTGCAGGACCAAAAACACAACAGTAGGAACTTAATAAATGTGTCCTGAACCGAATCAATGGAAACTATAAAAGCACTAGATGATAAAAGACATTACAATCCATTCTATAGAAATTGCTAAAACTTGATGCAGAAACGGAATAAATTATTTATAACTTCCAGAACAAAAGTAATAATAATATTTAAATTTCAAAAAAAAAGATGGCTCAGTTTAAATATTTCTGGCTATCCTCTAAATGGTGCTCTGGCTTGTCCTTGGTCATTTTCCTGATTATCTTAAACAAACCAAATCAGATAGATCAATTATATCAAATATTTTTCTATTATTAGCGCAAAACATCAGAAAGGCTTTTATATTTTTATAGTCTTTTATTTTTACAGGCAAAATCCAAAAAGTCACTTTGATAAAAATGACAGAATATAAATTAAATAAGTACTTATTGAGTACATATTATGTAGGACTTTCCAAAAGACGAATCTTTAGTGTAGTATGTGCTAAATATTAAAATATTATAATAATAATAATCACTGTGCTCTGCTGACTCTTTCGAAAACAAAAACGGCCTTTAGACCAGCTAGTTATATTTTTAAGATGTCATTAGCTTAACATATAGATTACTACATTTTCATTTTACTATTTATATAATAATGGATAATTATAATTGATACACTTTTAATTGACATAAAGGTGATGTCATGTGGACATCTATCTGTAAGGAAACTAGACTCTAATGTAACACAAACATTGTAAATAAGAGGAAATTATTTTAGTTATTTTATGCATTCACATGAATGCTAAAGAATAAAAATCATAACAGAAATAGTGATAGAAGGCTATTCTTTTGGGGGAAGATTAAAGGATTATTAAGGGGTAAAATTTACAAATTTTCAGTAGATGTGAACTAAAAAGAGATTTCCAAAACATCTCTTCTAACAGCTAAAATGAATGTGAAGGCCTTGTGATTTGTTTTAGAGATGGGAAAATGGGATATATTCATATTTTTAAGACACAGCTGACTTCTATGATGTAATGCACTAAGATTGCATAACTATACCTTTTTGATATTTGAAATGTAATTTCATTACTATATTAAGGTTGAGTCTATATATTTAATGTTTTAAAGTTCTTTAGAGATATTTTTAAAATTAAGCAGTCTATCTCAATTTTAAAAAAACTAAACAGATATACAATTAAGACTTTTTAGCTCTACAGAATTGAATCTCCTTATAACAATCAACTTTCACACAAACTAATACTTTTTATGGAGTATTCTTAGGTTCTAAAAGTAAAATATTAGAAGAGTCTGGATGTGAGGAAATAACAGTTGCTATATTGGGTCCTACTAGGTGCAGAAGTAAATCAAAGTCACCAAAAATGCTAACAAAACTCTATGCCAGATGAAAGAGCTGCCTTCACCAACTTGAAGGTACTAATGGTGCAAATGGCAAAATTAGGTCATAAAACTGCACTTCCCCAGCTGGCTAAAGGGAAGGACACGTGTTTAGTGAAGCAAGACATTACTTCCATGTTATTGTCTTTTAGCTCCTCTCCCAAAGAGGAGGGCCACCAAGGTGTTCTTCACTTTTCCCCTTTCCCACTACCCATTCCATTCCCCCTGCAATATTTTAGACCATGTTCTTTCCTCTGAGACTCGGAGTCAGAACCCTAAATGGTTTGCCTCGAGAGTCAGCAATATGGAGAATTTAACTACAGCTCGAGAGTCAGCAATATGGAGAATTTAACTACAGCCCAGCTGTAACACAGTGAC